ACTTTTCGCAAATGCATGTTCCCCTTCGGAGGGAAAAGCCTTTTCTCTTCATAAAGTTAGTTAGCCAGCACCTGCTCGCTTTAAACTGGCTCCGCATTAGACCTTTTTCTAAGACTAATTGCAGAGCCCGCACTTGGAGCAGTTCTGTCGTCACGGGCCGCTGTGCCGCTCGCTGCTCAAGCACATACTCGCCGAGCAGCTTTTTAATTTGCGGAAACTGACCCTGCTGTGGTCCACTGAAGCCTTTGCGTGAAGCTTTGCTGTCGACAATCTTCTGCTTTTGTTTCCGCCGGTCCCGCACGCACGTTTCAGGAACTCCAAACGACCGCGATGCGGCCCAATTTCCGTCCGTTTCTGCACACGCGATGACTTTTCTTTTAAAAGCGGCATCGTGGTGCACTCGAGTTTTTGGAGTTGGCCCTTCCACGCCGTCGATGCTAATGCACTACTAGATGACGAACTCCTCGGCACACGTACGAAGTGCCGCACATGGGCAACACATAGGCAGATATGACCGACGCGCCATGCCGACGTAGGTAGGGGGCGGCCATTTTGGATTTGCCGATGGCAATAGATTGACCGTAATGTTTTTGTTCGTACTCCATTCTAACGCGCATGCGATTTATGAACTGGCTTAACCGGAAAAAAGGTGCGCGTTAGATTCGAGTAATTACGGTAGTCCGTTTTCATGCAATTTCGGTTTCAGTTTCGCAAGTGCATCCAACACGCACTTTTTCGCACGACCACTATAAAAATATCTTACATTTTTGGGGGAGGAAATAAATAAAATGTTCATTTTTAAAGGCAAAAAGCACGAATCTTCTTTGGAGCGTTGCGATTTATTTCAGAAAAAGAAAGGTATGGCCGAGCAGGTTCTGGGCGATAGGAACAACGCAAAGCCAAAACATCATTTCCTAAATTGCAGTGCATACTTGGTCGGTATCATTGTTTTCCTTCTTTAAGAGACGCAAAAACATGCTGGAGAAGCTCATGATATTTTTTAAGGGGCACAAAGGCAACAACGGGAAGCAGGAGTCATGACACCGATTGGTCATAAGTGGGCGTCTGATGTTAGTAAATTCAAATTGGAACGCAATTTTTACTCGGCAAAGAACGCTGTTTTTTTTTTCACAGTCAACAGGGTAATATACATTAACGCGCCTGTTACCAAGGCATAGCGCTAGTAACGAATACCGTATTTACTCGCGTAATCCTCGCACTCGCATAATTCTCGCACCCCCCACATCGCCCAAGAAAAATACGATTTGTTTTTTGCTCGAGTAATTATCGTACCCCCGATAACTGCCGCAATAATGTCGTCTGCTCGTTCCAGCCACTGATGATGATAGCGGCGCCATTTGGCGCCATCTCTTAAGCATCAAGCATACTATTGCATGCAAATTCAATCCAAGCCAAGCCAAAGTGGCCAGTGCGCGTTGCGGGGTGTTTTGTATGCTGTGTCGGTAATCTTGGCACGTTATGGTGTAATACTGAAGTTACACGGCTGCTTCAAGTTGCAAGTGATAAATGACAAAGGCACTAAACAACGGCAACAGGGCCGCCGGTAGGCCCTTCGGAGTCTACGAGTTTTGTGATCGCTACTGGTGACGACAGCTAAAAGCCACCAAGACGCGTTGGGCCTGCCGTGGGCCTAAAACTGGGATTGATGGTAAACTTTATTTCGTCAGAAGGAAACTGCGGACGATAAGCCCAATACTGACGTCCTACGCTTACCTTTTGAGGGCTCCTGTTGAGCGACGAATGCTACCATTAAGCCTGCAACGCCCACAAGCATTGCGTATGGTATTGTAATTCTCGACAATTTGCTTGCACTTTTTGTGTCTCAAATAAATCTTGCCTTGTGTTGAACCTCTGCTTTCATTGTTAAGGTGACTCTTAATTTGTACTTCTCAAAGCTTGCTGTTAATTGCTGGTGTGAGAATCCCGATTGGCGGCCACTTCGTTTTTTTTTTTCGCTCGGTACGTTCTCATGAAAAGTTCTCCCCGCATAATTCTCGCACCCCCCCACTTAGCATCGATTTTTCGGCAAAAAAAGTGCAAGGATTATGCGAGTAAATACGGTACCTCTGTAGACATAGTCGGGAGCGGTGTTACGGTACGCAATCTTCAGCGTTATCGTATCAACAGTATTAGCCAGCTGAAACACCGACCACATATGCAAAGCAATTTAGGAATAGGGCCATTGGTTTTACGTACAGTTTCCAAGTGCACTTTTTCTTCCAAGCAGCTGGTGTTGAAGACTGGCAGGTCGCCAGTGTCACTTTCATGGCGGCTATAGCGATCCGAGTACAACTTTTGCTGATGATATCAATAGCACACAAATTTTTGGTGATTGCATGTGCGGGAAACAAAATATTTTACGACGTACTACTGTCTACGTTTCTCCCTGCTCGATGAATACAGATCACCTAATGAACACGCACTGATGCTCGTTCACAAGGTTCGATGTGAACTTGCTGCAACCGAGCAATGCCATATGTTGTTTACCGGGGCAGGGAAAAGTGAAACGGCACCAGAAAACAAGAAAACTAGAAACAGCAAAGAACAAAAAACCTACACGGTTGAAGCTTTGCAATAATAATTCGAACAATCTTGTAATATTCACATCTCTTCTTTTTATGTTTCCATTATGCTACGCAGCATACCAAAGTAAGCGTTCATGGACTACGAGCAGAAGCGTAGCAAGAAAAGGCGTGCTTGGGCTTCGTAGCCTTGGCTGTGCTGCCACAGAAAGTTGTCGCCGAGTGCAGGAGCTCAGCTCCGCTTGAGGCATGGCAGGTGCCGTAATTAGTTGAGACAGCGTGCAGTACAAGGAAGCGCACTTGCAGGTTATGAAAAAGAGTCCATTATTGGTTCTGTAAAGCAGCTTGCACTCTTAAAATAACACTGACGTGCGAAGTTTGCACCTCTTTATTCATTTAATTATTTATTTATTTGCAGTAAGTAGCTTATGACCCACTTATCGCGGCTGGCAACTTCGCTTGCGCGAGTGCGCGACGGTTATGAATTTAGAGATGTTAATGAATTTGGAGAGGTTACGAATTTAGAGGCGTTCCCAGATGGTACAAATTATAGAGCTTTCACCGTATTACTAGACACTTTTGCAAGGAAACCACGGTGATAACAGCGACGAGGACTAGCAAACCTCTTGAATGAACCGAAATACAACATGATGGAACCATCGAACTACACTGGATTTGGATGCCGCCGCGTCAGGGTAGCCAATGCTCAGTGTTGCTCAGTCTACAATAATCGACTAGATTTGGCAATTTACACTTCTAATCGACAAGTATTGCAGAAATTGCCATTTATGCGCAGGCTGGTGCAGCCAATCAGACTGGCGTATGATGGCACAATCGGCGCCGAATTTCGACTCTTGAATGATGTTCAGCATTGCAAGGGACTTCGCATCTCGCTCAGTCGCGTGGCATGCACTTTAAAATTAATTTTAAACATGGCTATACTTGCCTGTGATATCTGATAGATATGTATGTCTCCACATAAATCCATCTCACTCATCTCGCCTTCGAAATTTAGAGTCGGTGCTTTCTAAACAACGACCTCCTTAGGTGACCAATGCTAAGCTGGAAACATCACGTATGCTCCAATGTCACACGAGTGCTGTGGAAGGTCATGCATACCATTGGCCACAGCTTGCCACTCCTGGTGCTCGTAGGCAGCCAGGCTGGGCAGCATGGGTCGATGCAGGGGCTGCGCGTACTTGGCGATGGCCTTGGTCAGGGAACGGCCTTGCATCTGAGAGTTTTTCGGTGGGCGAGTGCCCTGCTGAAACTGCAGCTTCTTGCGGTACAGCCTCATGCATGTCTCCCGGCTCACATTCTCGTTCCGGTTCTGCCAAGAAAACTCAGCTGTTTCACATGGGCACATGCAACAATTGCGTATGGAGCCAGTCAAACCCTACGCCTGCGGAGCTTGTCCTGCACCTAATGAATGATGCAGTCAAATCCAGTGAACACCACATAACCAACACTCAACTGACAACACGTACATTTAAACCTGCCTATAGTGAGCCTCCATACAACGAACTCCTCAACAATACGCAGTTATTCAATCCCCCCCCCCCCCCCCCCGTTTAGCCAGAGAAATGTCTCTTAGAATGCTACAACTATTTCTTATCCGAATCTCGCTTTCAAGTACGATCTATACCCAAGCAACTGCGGGGGAACATCCGATTTAGAGCACGTGCTTTGGCGGTGCCCCTCACAACACGGGGACAAGGACCCCACAGAGCAGAAGCGGTGCACGGTGCTCCTCGAAATATCAGCATCCACTTTGGGCCCCCACTCGCACGCTTTTACCCATGGGTACAACTTGCGATGCGCAGGGGAATGCTATCGATTTGGACTCTATATGGAATATGACAGTGAAAATTCGCCGAGAAAGTCCATATAATTTCTATCACAATAATAATGCAGTTCTTGATAGCTAAATAAATAAAAGACCTGCCTTCCGTTTTCGCTTTGGTTAATTTGCGCATCTTTTTTTTTTTCGAAATTTCACACTGAAACTGTATATAACGAAATCCTATGTTTAACAAATTTTGGGGGGAAATGCATCAGTTTCGTCATCTCTAGGTTTAACTGTAAGTATTGAAGTAGCTTCAGTGAACCGACTGGCACAACTGAAGCTGCATCTGCACTGTGCGTGGTGGCGTGGCTCAATCGGGAATAATGCTCGATCATTGGTAGTGACACTGGTGGCTTCAAGGTCAAGCTGCATTTTTGATGCAGCTGGCAGTGCGATGGACAGTGATAGCCGACTCACCAAACCCAAGACTCCGGTGCAGTACAGCACAATCTCTATTGATATAATCAGGATGACACAGTAAACTCAATTTCGCGCAGCTTAGCACAGTTTTGCGCAAAAGTGGAATCACGGCAAACAGCTCTAAAGAAAAGAGCACTTGCGAGCAGTGCTTGACACAAATGATCAGAGAGAGCTCTTAAGTGCAGCGGCAACTATATTCTGTCTCCGTCATTCCAAACAGGCAAAAAAGGTGGCCGTGGCTACCTTGACCAGCGAAAAGATGGCACGCTTCATGACATCTGTGTTGAGGAAGCATCTGATGCGCTGGTACAGGTCCATGCGCTAGTCCATTCTTGTCAGACTGGCACATCGCACCGCAGTCATGCGAGCCACGGGTACCGCCAGGAAGCGCTCCAGGTCAGCCACTGTGGGCTCTTTGGTGCACAGAGTCTCGCATAGTCGCCGGTAGCGCTTCAGCAGTGTGTTGGGTGCACGCCAGGGCATGCCCCGTTCCTCCTGTACAAGCGTCACGTAGAGAGGCTTTGAAGGCGAGAACAGTGACCGACAACGGGGAGGTGCATGCGTCGTATTTCCGAGATCTAGTAAAATAAACATGTACAGATGCAGGTCAATACAGTCGACGTCCGATTTCCCTGAAATTCCGGACATGCTAGATTTCTCGGACTCATCTGTGGCACCGCCAAGTTCGCTATAGAGTCAATGTATTAAAAAGTCAGAAATTTCGGAGGCTTATGGCCTTCGGCATCCGATTTGCCGGACTTTTTACTATTAAACGCCGATCCAAAGTCGCCACAGACGCCGCCATTTGGGTTGTTTTCATATCCTCGCGTCGCCAACCGCCGCACCGCGCCGCAGCTGCCTTAACCTCGAAACCGCACATGTCAATCCGTTTCCAGCCATAGCTTAACAGCTTAGCTAAGCCAAACCTCACTCAGTTCGCTCACGTGTTGTTTTGTCAGCTTTGCGGTCGTGTCTGCAGTTGATCATTTGCTGCTGCGCGCTATCTTCAGTGATCTCGTTTCCTGACCTTCAGTATTTACCGAGTTCCTAGCTGTTTCCTGCTGTGCTTTTCGTCAAGCAGATTCACCGTTTACAGCGATGGCACCAACTGCTCCTTCGTCTTTGCCTGCGCCTTAGAAGCGCACAGAGCTCCCTCGTAGGTTGCGATGGGAAAAGCTACGCTGTTAACCTCAGGTCTGCCGTTAGCGGAATCTTGAAAGGCGGACCCAAGAGACTCTGCGAAACTGTTCTTTCCACGCGGGCTTCAGACTCGACGCCGAGACGGCCGTCTCGCCCCAAGTGGACAGCGTGTGTGACGAACTGCCATCCGCGGATGTTCCCTCGACAATCTGCACGCTGCCGGCAAGTCGATTTTAGTCGGGATAACTTTTGAGGGCTTCGCCGACGCTGACAAAGACCTCGAGCTATGTGCGGACCTGACCAATGACAAAATCATTCAAGTTACGGAGGATTCTGATGACTAACACTGAAAACGAAGAGCCATCTCCTACACAGCCAACGAGTTCGGAGTTGACGTGAGCACTGATGACACTGTCATCGGTGTAAAGTGGCAACACAACGTTGACTCAAATTGAGGCGGACATGATCGCGGGCAAGCGGAACGCCGTGCAAAAGAAAATAGGAGACTTCTTTGCCCCCAAGTGCTGACCTATGAGATAACGCCAGCCACCTCGGATTTTTTTTTATTTATGAACGGCTTTTTTCAGAGCCACCTAAACGATGCATTGGTTGAATTGCAATCGGAATCTTGTACTCCCACTGTCACCTTCTCAGTTAGCGAAAAATACCTACAAAAAAGGTGCATTTTCACATGCATTCGTTTATCTGGACTGCCCAATTTTCCACACATTTTCATGGTTCCTTGAAGGTTCGGGAAATCGGACGTTGACTGTAACATACATTACAGCATGCCAGCGTGAAGACCATACCACCAACCTTGAATACATACACTGTACTCTCTTGTGAGCTCCTTCTCATTGATGCAGATTCATTCGCGTGCATTAAGAGCACTCGATTCCTTATACAGTTAAACCCCTATATAAGAGACATGCTCCGGGCAGCAATTCTTGTTTCTTATATGAGGTGTTTCTCATAAGCAGGGTACCACGTATGCATTTTCTTATCAACCCGTACTTTACTGTTGGCACACTGGTGCCTCTTATACCGGTATCTCTTATAAAGGGGTTCGACTGTAGTTATTAACCCTAAATTGCATGTTATTGAAACAGAGCAATTGTAACTGTACTTTCAAAGCTCCCTTTTTATGGCACCAGACAAGTGACACACTTTGCCATTTTTCAGACCAACCTGTTTAGTGGCGGTGTGAATTGTACGAAAAGCTTTGTTTCGTTTTTTTTTTAATGCAAAATACGAGGAATGGGTTAAGCTAAAGATTGTATATGACAGAGTGGACATTAAGGTATTACATAGGTTAAAATTGGAGTGATATGTATAAAATAAATTTGTGCAAGCACAATTACACATCAAAAGCCAATTGAGTGGGGCTTGTTGCAGCGCTTGACGGGTGAATTCTCGACTACGTGCTTCTTTCTCGACTACGAGCTTTGGCAATGCACAAAACACAGTTAATCCAAGCGATAAACTACATCAGTAAAACTTTAAACCCACACTTCACTCAAATCTACCCAACTTTAACGAAGTTTACAGAAGAACTGGCGCCACTCCTGCCTTCACACCACAGTCTATTCCTCGGGCCACTTCAGGTTTTTTTTAAACTCGAGGACGGCAAGCACAAAGCAATGCAAAGACAGGCAACGGTATTGCAAAAATGTCTCAGAGAGACTGTTCTACAATGTGACAAACTTGTGACATCATCTGCTTGGCTCTACTTTATCGTTTGCTAACAAAATATCTACCTAAGCTGTATCCAAAGGTGGCATTCGTGTGTCTACCCCACGTCTACAAAGTGAAACAATTCAGATACATAATGTTGAATCCCCATACAGACACAGCAGCTACAAATACTGGGCTACTATACAATACAAAGCCGCCATATTGTCCTGCGTTAATCCTGTACCCACCAATAGTGCTCTGCATTTCGTTTAAATCTCACAGGTCATGCTTTCTTCCCTTTCTTTTTGTTGCGGGATGCACAGAGACCTGAAAGCACCCTTTTGTAATAACGTCCAGCAAAAAATTGCATTTTTTTTTTTTTTTGAATGGCTAAGGACTGCCCAATTCAGAACACCCTGGCGAACGGCTGCCAGCCGACTGTTCCGGTGATGGGTGCAGTGAGATGGAATTCATTTGCATACAGTAAAGCTTGTTCAGTGGCTGTCGAGACATTTTCTGGAGCTTTGCGAATTGCGAAACTTGGGGTGTGAAGCGAATTTGAAGTGCAAGTGCTAATCGAATAAAATATTTGTCTAATATTTCTAGAATATTTGTTAAAAACTTCGAAACGAAACTGCAGAAAAAAAAAGGGGGGGGGGGGGGGATCCTCAAGCTTCGTTTTTGAGAGTTTAACGCGATGTAGATATCCTATCCCTAGTGTGCACTTTAAAAACTTAGTGCATGAAATCATTTAAAACATCCTACACTGTCACTACATGGTTGTTAAAGGCACAGGCGCAATAACGCGTGCGCCCCTGTAGTGGGTGATCGGCTTTAAACCAGGAAGTTTAAGTCATTATTATAATTCCATGCTCGTACACCCAATGGCAGTGAACGCTTGTACTAAGCATCTAGGCCAACAAAGTGCCGGCCGGCAAAGTAGCCACTTCGCTTAGTCATGTGTTACTGCAGTGGCAATGCTTGGAGCTAGTGCGGCTGCAATGCCTCTCCACAGCGGATCACATCCGGTCACAGGTGCACCCTGGCTCCTTAATTAAGGTCATTGCGACGTGATGAATGACCTTGACAACAGTGGAGTTGCAGCACTTCCGCTTGATTAACGTTAAACTCACTTTGATCGCAACAATTTTTACACGGATTCGCCAGCTTCCCTGCAAGCGTAGCAGACTGATGAACGCCCTCACCATGGCCCAGTGGCCAGCTCCGTACTTCTGCACCAGCTGCAGCAGCGTGCGGTCCTCATCCGAAGTGAACGGCCCCGAGACAAACTGCTGGTCAAAGTGGTATATGTAGCGATTCCTGCACTGGCCGTGCGTACGACCGGGCACCATGCTTGCCACCTGAAAGGTGGCCAGGACACTGGTTAATTAAGAGTGCACTTCAGAACAGTGAACTGATGGGCTTCGATAGAGCGTAACCGTGTGTTCACGATGGTAAAAACTCGAAAGGACGCCAGGATTTTGTGCGAATTATCAGAGAACTCATAGATATGACTAGGGGAAACATGGAAACTCGTGTAGCATTTGTTGTTTTTTCTTTTTCAGGGTTACAGCAATGTCGCAATCAGCTCTGAATGATTACATGTAAATGTTTTAGACATTAGGGGTTGCAGTAGTACTAGTTATTATGCAGCACTTGCACTCGTGAATAATTAAAGACAAAAGACCTGCTGTGTCCCACAACAGCTTGTTGCTCCTAACCAGAGAGCTTTTTTGCATTACACATGTGTACTGTGGCAAGAGCGACTTATAACAGTGTTCAGTACGCAATACACTAAGAACAAACTTCCTTTTTTCAGTGCGGCTGTTCCAGAGCTAGGCTGGGCGATTAGCCTCAAACTCGAGCCTTAGCTGCACTTTGGCACAATTTCCATTATTGCTATAAAAAAGGGCACAATAAATCTCATTTGGCGCAGGAGTGGAATCGCCAGTATCGTTGAGATTCTACAGTACACACAGGGCAAGCGAACCGGCAGTGCCCACCGGTCCACAGCAAAATTAAGGGAAACAAGCGGCTAACCTTGGACCAGCTAACGTCCCCGTACGGCTTCACAGCGACGAGCAGCATGACATCTTCCTGCGCTGACCAGCGGCCCCGCTTTATGTTCGGATGCAGGGACCGATGGTAGCGGTTTATCAGCTGCTTCTTAGACCGGCAGTTCATATAGTGAGACACCTGCAAGAGCGAGTGTGCGAAAACAATCGAGGCTTGCCCTATCGAAACAGCAGCCGAGGCTGTGGCTGCCGACAAAAAATAGAGCCAAAGAGCAGTCCAACACCACCAAACGTGGCAGACACGGCAGTGGGACCGCTATTTGACTCCTTGACGCAGACCTCAAAGCAGGCACAAGCAAGTGATTCGGCCCACTTAAAAAGCATGATTTTACCAGTGTAAAAAATACATCTGCGCACTGTGCAGTCTGAACTGGCACATGGACAAGGCCAGCTCGTCAACAGGACTACACTCAATCAATCAATCAATAAGGATTTATTTTCAGCTTCAAAGACAATAGATCGAGCTTGGTGGGTAAAGACAAAAAAGCCTTAGATCAAGCTTGACAGGGTTCGAAACCACGGGCTTGGTAAACGTGGCATACGGAGTACAGTCAACTGCAGATTTTTCGGACCCTCTAAGCAGCGAAAAACTGTCCGAAAATTCGGGCACCCCAAAAAAATGAATGCAAGCAAAAAAAAACACGTTATTTTACTGATAATTTTCAATGCAAGAAAAAAAAACGCACCATTTCGCTATTATTTCTCAATGCAAGCAAAAAACGCACCATTTCATTGATATTTCACGGATCAAGAGGTTCAAGGTCGAAGTACCAGACTTCCAGAACTCTGCCGAAGCATCAGTGGGGTGGCTTTGAAAAGAGCTGTTAAAAAAAAAATGCATGCAGTCGACAGTGGGTGCCGTCAGGGCAGCCGGTGTTAGAGCTGCAGTGGCTTGAAAAACTTGTTGATCCTTGTTTGAACGGCGTTCTGCTTGCATGTAATCACATTCGCCTCGATCTGGGCAAGGGTCATGTCATCACTGTACACCGATGACAGCAACATCAATGCTCGCATCAATTCGGCGGTCGTAGGTGACGCAGGCGTTGGTTCCTCATTTTCGACATCGGAGTCGTCTGAATCCGCCATAACCTGACTGACTAATTCGCCATCGGTTAGCTCTGCGCAGAATTCGAGCTCGTCAGCGTCGACGAACCACTCAAAAGTTATTTCCGTGGGTATGGAAGCACCAGCAGGGCGGAGATCGTTGATAATATCGTCCATGAGAGGGCGCAAGTCAGTCACGCTGTCGCTTTCTTCAGGCAAGTCTGCAGCCTCTGTGTCGAATATGAAGCGCATGTGCGAAAGCAGTTGCGAAGCGTGTCTTGCGTTACTGTCTTCCATACGTCCGCAAGCATTTCGACAGCAGACCGAAGGTCAATGCTGTAGCCTTTCCCACTTTCCGAGCACAGCACCACGCGGTTGAGTATACATGAACGGTACAAAAGTTTCAGATTACAGATAACGCCTTGGTCCATCAGTTGGAGGATCGCAGTCGTGTTGGGTGGCATGAATTCCAGCTGGATAGCCTTCAAGTTATTGATGTGACTATGAGCAGCGCAGTTGTCAACGAAGAGCAGAACACGTGTGTTTTGTTGTTTAAACTTCTGTCCAACCTGCGGACGTAACTCTTGAACAACTGCTGCGTTACCCATGCCTTTTTGTTGGCTTCGTATAACCCTGGCAGCATTGCACCTTTAAAACACCTCGGGCTCTTGGACTTCCCGATAACTAACAAAGGAAGTTTCTTGCTGCCAAACATGTTGCTGCCACCAAGAACAGTCAGCCATTCTTTGCTATGCTTGCCACCATGGCATGCGTCACCAACAAAAGCGAGTGTTCTTTCCGGCAGCAGCTTGTAAAACAAGCCAGTTTCGTCGCAGTTGAAAATGTTGTCAGCAGAGAACTGCTGCAACAAAGACTGGAGTTTTCCGCAATAACCGCACTGTCGATGGCGCCGCTTTCGCCACACATCTTCTTCAACTTGAGGTCATTCCGATGCTTAAAATTTCTCAGCCATCCGTCACTGAACTTAAAATCCGTGATGTCCATTCGAAGCGTGAGAGTTTCCACTTTTTGTTTCAAGATGCAGTTCCGAGACTGGCAACCGCTTGGCAATCGTTGAATTAAGCCACACGACGAGAGCGTCCTCAAGCTTTGGATGAACACCTTGACTTGCATTCATCTTTTGGGCACCAGACGGTTTTTCGGCCGCTTCCAAGATCTTGTCTTTGTTCCTCAGGAAATCGGAAACTGTTTGCTTGGAAATGCCGAACTCCTTGCTCACTTCAGCCTGCGATCGGCCACTCTTCACTAACTTAATAATGGCGGCTTTCTTCTCCATCGTTGACCGACGATACCGTTTTTCGCGCTTCGATGCCATCAGCGAGGACGACGAAGGCGGAGTGGGAGCCATCGCAGGCAAGCGAAATCCTCACGATGTGAACAAAGGAGTTTGCTGACGAGCGTCGAAGCACCTAGGCTTAGCATTGCAGAGCACACTTCACACAATCGCACAACCACGCACTAGGCTAACCAAACACCATATGGGCTGCGTAAACAATACGGCGCGACGGTGCCTCTGGTACTCTGGAGGTGGCGCTGGTAAACACTCAAGATAGCCAGCGTGGCCAGACCAAATCGGTGTGTGATGGTTAGTTCTAGTACGAAGTGGTGAAACGCTTCGCGAAAGCGCTTCGTGGAAAGCCAGAGTGGCATGCACGAGCACAAGCGCTAAAGCAAAAGGAATTTTATTGCGCCAAAAAATTTCCAGGTGGACAGTTTTGATTGTCAGCGAAGCACCCTTGCATGATAAACACGGCCAGTGTTAGAAATCTCTGAGGCCGTGTATATTTCTCCACTAACGATCAACAGGTCCAAGCAACAAATGCCGCCACAGTAGACTGGCGCGCTCATTTATGTGATCGTAATCATGTGTGACGCAGTTGTGGTGGTTTCCACTGGAGGTCAGTAATGGTTCCAGACCTTCCGTTGCGTCAAAAAGTCCGTAAAATTGGACTCTGGGGGGTTCGAGTGTCTGAAATTTAAGACTTCCTTATACATTGATTCCATGGGGCTCGTGGTGGTGCCGTGAAGATGTCGGAATTATCGGGCATGTCCGAAAAATCAGGTGTCCGAAATATCGGCAGTTGACTGTATACACTAAGGCAAAAAATGGGTACATGGCAGTTCTCTTCACTGGAACAGCACAAATCAGCTAATAAAAAAAAGATAATGTACACTCAAAAAACATAAATAATCTAAGAAAATGCACATGGCAGTTCCCTTCACTGGAACAACATAAATGAGCTAAGAAAACTGAAAAACGTACACACAAAAACATAAATGATCTAATACAATGCACACGGCAGTTCTCTTCACTGGAAGAACATAAATGCGCTAATAAAACTGAGAAATGTACACACAAAAACAAAAAACAAAAAACAAATGAGCCAATAAAGCGCGCATGGCAGTTCTCTCCATCGGAACAACATAAAGCTGTATTAGAACAGTTGCATACTACAAATAAAAAAAAAGTTTGTTATACGGTAATACCTCATTAATTGGAACTCGGTTATTTCAAAATCCCACGTATTTCGAAACACTTCGGTGGTCCCGTACTTCTCAATCTAAATGTGAGCGGATAACTTGAAGTGGCGGTCAGGACCAGTCTGGTTAATTCGAAAACTTTGGGTGCCATGTGCCCATTCGCAATCCCGATTTCGCTGCGAATCTCCGGAAAGGACGGCGCTTAAGAGCGACAAGGAAATGCAACGTAGCAACACATATGAGTGGCAGCTGAAGCGTCCCAGCTTCGCTACTTCCAGCTCAAAAAAAAAGGAAGAAAAAAAAAAGACAGTCGCGTGGTCAACCGAAATGTGCGCTTGCGGAAAACAACACGTGCTTCACTATCGCACAGCAGTGACGTGCGGGCAGCTTATTGCACGTTTCTAGCAACGTCAGCACATCATGATTTACTTCTTCTTTCTGTGTTTGTAACGAAATTATTTAGATACAGTTTGGTGGGATTCATGGTGTATGAGAATCTTCGATGGCTGGTTGCTCCAGCAATTCGTGCACTTGCACTGCAGGCCGAGTTCTTGCCTTCAACGCGTGGTTCGAAAACTAAATTAAGAAGCTTCGAAGATCATGTTTCCTGGCCAAAACACACAGCAAACTCTGCCGCACTGGCCATTTATTAAATTCTTTATTGCACCAGAAACAATGAGCGAATTGTAGCATGATGACAGGCTGACGCAGTGAGGAGAGCAAGTGGCATGCTGCCCATGAGTCAATGCTGTGTTGCAGTGAAGACGTCTTATTTTTCCCAGGAGCGCATTTCAGTTGATCACGACAGTTTTTTTTTTTCACGGTGGCAGCAGCGAGCCTCGCCATTCTTTCGCGTTTGTGACGAAATCAAGACTACGTATTACTGAAAAACATAAACATGGAGCTGCAAACTAGCCGGCACAGAAAACAAGCAGGCCTGACTCATTCGAATGATTCCAAATTCTTTGCATCCCCCTTAGTGGATGTTCTGTTAATTCGAAAACCTGCTTAATTCAAAGATTTCTCGCAGGCCCAGTGAGTTCGTATTGACGAGGTTTTACTGTGTATCTAATAATTCATTACAAAGGTTACTCTTACCCTGGTATCTAGTCCAACACTATTTGTCATTTACTTTGTTATAACCAATATTTCGTTATGTGTGTGTTCACTATATTGAGGTTTGAGAGTTTACCGTTTCCTGCCCGGTTAACAAGGGCTCAATGTTTTCGGAGTTAATTTCCCTTGAAATTTAGAGGGCATTTCTTGGAGTTTACTTTTTGGGAAAAAATTTGGCGTTTATCGCAGTTTATTTCTGGTCATTCCCCAATGCTCTGAAATTCGGTGTTTAATTTTGCATTGGAAGTTGTTGACATGTGGTCTTATTATTAATTATTTCTAGTGAAATTGCTGATAACCCTGCTTCTCCAATCATTTATTATTTTATTCCTCAGTTGCTGTGTATTAAGCCTGTTAATAAAGCAGTTAATGTGCACTGCTACAAAATCACCAACCTTAGCTGCAGCTCGACTTTTTCTTGCCGTCTCCCTCATTGTCCTGATGAGAAATGAGGGACCTATTTATTATTATTCTCAATACCACAAAACATTATTTGAAATTATCTAACTATAGTATATACGAACCCACTAAGTGTATATTAAATATCTGGAAGGTTTGAACTTTCAATTGCACATACATGCAAGCACAGATACTTCAATACAAAAGCGCACCGTTCATTTGTATTACAACACTAAACGTTTTAATGAATGGAAGCACGCTTCAAGAAGTTACTGCCACTGATTGAGGTGCGCTCCTTTTGATTGACGGTTCTCAGCTTTCAAAATGCCCTTTCAACATTGAGAATGCCCTTTGAACATTGAAGTTCATCAGATAAATTCGAATTGCAAAGAATTTTATCAGCGGATGTATATAGAATTTTTTTTCTTACACTCAAACCGAAAACACAGACCTCTACCCATAACAAGTGAGTTGCTTTTTTCTCAGTGTTTAGTCATGCTGTTTTTTTTTTGTGCTGTTTCAATTGCAAATTCCATTTATTAAAACAGAAGATTATAATTATTGGCATTTACCGTCCCAATTATGATTATGAGAGACACCGTAGTGGAGGTCTCCTGAAATTTCGACCACCTGGGTTTCCTTAAAGTGCACCTAAATCTAAGCACACAAGCCTCAAGCATTCTCGCCTCGATCAAAAAGTCGACCGCTGCGGCCAGGATTCGATTGGGAAGGGTTTTCGGCGAAGGTATTCGTCAAGGCTGCTTCATCGGCCATGCCTCGGCAATAATAAAACTAGGAAGCTGCGGGACGCCAGAAAGCACCACAACGAAGCAGCGTTCTGCGAGGCCCACCTGTGACCAGGATATGTTGTCCCCATCGGAGCAGACGGAGATGAGGCGCTTTAGTTTGTGGTTCTCCTCATCCGTGAAGGAGCCCGTGTTGTGGCACCTCGCAAGATGGCTCATGTAGCGTTGAGCACACTGGTACGTGCTGCGGTTGGTCTTCAACTCCTGGGCAATCTGTGATGCAGAAACAGATGTGGGCTTGACATCCCAGCTAACTTCCGTATTTCTGCGACTCGAGGGGTGCAACAGCCGAAATGGAATTTGAAGCGATTTTCGGAGCAGCAAAATGTTACTTTGGAGCAGGTTACAAGAGAACATTTATTTTTTACCATGAAAGACCAGATTACGAGTAGCTTGAAAAAAAGGCTTAGATTAAAAAAAAAAAAGATATATATATATATATATGCAAGCCATTTAACATTCCCTAAATCATGCACAGGGAATATGAGCACTGCTATTTTAACAAAGTAGTATTTTCTTTATTAACCAACTCAGAAAACAATGATGAAGTCCAGATTGGAAGTCACCATGCCTGTCAAATGTTTGACAGAGTCTCAGAATTCAAATGTAGATCCCCCATGATGGTGACCATGAGATTTGTAAAACTGGAAAAAAAAAAAAAAAAAAACTGTTCGACTTTTTACAGCTGCAGAGATCTCATATTGTACTCCAAATCAATTTGCCAGTCACTTTTTTAGACATCAGCAAGCATATTAGTACTCACAATTATGTGCCATTGAACAAACTGTGCAGTGTCTAGAGACTACAACTATAGGCTCCTTCTAAATCTTAACGCTTTTCCGCAGGCCACCCATGTACTATGGCAAAGGTGGCTTAAGCGGTGTTCGTGCACAGGTTAGAACACGACCAAGAAATTTTCGAACCACAACCTCCCCCCAACTCCATTTTTTTTTTTCATGAAGGGGTTAGGTTTAGGGCACAACTTCTCGGCTTGCTTGGAAGGCCCGTTTGACTAGGTAAAGTGATAATGGCACGTGCCTGTTGGTCTGGCAACGGCACCAAATATCTATCGCATGTGGCATTGCTATGGCAACTGACGTGGTGACGGCATTAACTAAAGCTGGAAGCGTGCAAGCTCGACGTGCTGGGAATTTGTACACTTCTAGCTTTAGTTCCTAATGGTTCCTAACATGCCATGGCCGCACTTGCTGACTAGGAAATTCATATTTCCCACGAAGTTTTGCCGACTACAGCAACACATTTTCGTGTTGAAGTTCTGTCGTCCCGCCGGTAAATATCTGCTGCGGTCAGCAGACCGACAGGCGCGCAGCATCGTTACTTCATCTGGTCGATCGCGTTTCATGAGTGTCTTGGCTTAACGAGCAGCTATCTTACACTGCGGTTTAGGGTTATGATCTGCCCGCGTAGATTGATGTCACAAAGTACAGGTAGCTAAAGTGGTCTCCATTTCTCACTCAAATTAGGGCAATTGAGAAAATTTTGAGGCTGGTCGGGCATTTTGGCACAGCGTGGCACGATTTCAGCAAACTTCATGGTTCTGACACAGCTTGGCACATAGATGACGAATTTTATCAAATTGGCGCAATCGGCACAGCTGTTGCACCCCTGCGATTTGGAGCACCCCCCACCCGCCCCCATTTTAACTAGAAATAGATTAGAAAAAAACGTTTGCTTACGAATATAAGCACCCCTCTTTTTTTTTTTACTTTCTGCAAGCATGGCACAGTCAGGGCCGCAGCGCACCCTCTTGTCGCTAATCTCGGAAGCCGCCATGTAGTGTATGTTGCTAGGTGCAGACAAGAGGCAGCGGCAAAATCCAATCCAATCTGCAAGTACAAACAGGTTAGGCTAGCTTTGCGGTGGCGTGTGGCATGTGCATGTGTCTTTCTCAGTTGTTGGATAGCCCTGACATTGGTCAGAATCGGTGCAAAGAGGGCTTCCTACAACTTGAAGTTTAAGCAAGCAGCGATCACATTTAATGAGGACAATGGCAGACACAGTGTTACAGTAGAATCCCACGTGGACCGAGCCTGCATCAACAAGTGGAGGAAGCAGGCAAAGGCAACGGAGGTCGCGATGAGAATAGAGATTCTCCCTCGTGGTGTTTCTTGCTAGCCATGGCTGGGGGGGAGCACAAGATGCAGAGGAACAAATTTTCTTTGAGACATCTGACCCCAATACGCCAAAAGCTGGCAACTCATTTTGATGACCAACTCGATGCTTTCCAGCAACATGTGCTGGTTTTTCACAGATAAATAGCTATGATTTCGGCTGAATCGGCAATGTCAATGATTGATTGATTGATTGATTGACTGTTGATTGATATGTGTGGTTTAACATATTAAAACCACCACATGATTATGAGAGATGTCGTAGTGAAGGGCTCCGGAAATTTTGACCATCTTTGATTCTTTAACGCGCACCCGAATCTGAGTACACAGGCCTACAGCATTTTCGCCTGCATATAAAATGCAGCCGCTGCAGCCCGGATACAATCCCGCAACCTGCGAGTCACCAGCCGAGTACTTTAGCCACTAGGCCACCGCGGCGAGGCAGCAATGCCGATTAGACTCCTGTTTCTTTCAAAAAGCCGAAAGCATGCACCATTAATGAGGTAAGAGCCCAGGAAGTGAGATTGAAGACGACAGAATACTAGAAGCAGCGTGTCACAGCGATGCTGTGCATCACAGCTGACGAGCGCAATCTTCTACCCTACGTAACTCTGAAGAAGAAAAACACTCGGTCGCGATTTCAGGAGGCATGACACCAGTGCTGCAACACCTGGACGCCCGAGTGAACAAGCCGTTCAAGTCCCACCTTCGACAGGAGCATGAAAAGCGAGTCCGGAACCTAAAAAAAAAAAAAAAAACAGCAACGGGAAAGTTGCAGAAAGCATCTCTGTCCACCCTGGCAACATGGATTTCGCACACACGGAAACGTATCAAAGTCGACATTGTCGCGAAGTCACTCAAGAAGTGTTGCATTATAAACAACCTGGACGGCACCAAAGATGATCTGTTGTGGGACACTGACAGTGGTGGCTTGAATGGTGCGATGGACTCAAGCGGTGCGACGGACTTGAGCGGCAGTGATAGTGACCGGCCTGCTACAAGAGTGGTGCGTTCACTGTGTGCACCTATTTTTATTAATTCTTTCAAATTAAACGCAATTTCTAGCATCAGCCTTGTTGATATGTTGCCGCAAAAGGGGGTTGGGCTGAGCGGTCTTACGAAGCCGAGACGCCAACACGGTCCCGAAGGCGCCACTGCTCTGAACTACGCTGCCAAGGCCACCAGCCGTTTGGTAGCGTGTGTGACTCAGCTCACGACTGCTTCAGCGCAGAGCTGATAGACGTGCGGACGAGACGACGGTGGGTTAAGGCAAGGTTTATGTACAGCATAAAAATAGAGGCGTTTTAAATTTGGCACTGGGGCAGACAGCTTAGGGACTCGAAGAGCCGAGATGTCTTCTCTCGCATGCATCCCTCGGCTTCTCTCTCTGTTACGGAGTGCACCGCCGACGAGGTTACGAAGGGTGCCACAAAACTCGCCGCTGCAAGTGCAAACACACAAACCATTACTGCGAAACAGGGCAAATGAAAGTGTGGTAAATCACTAATAGCCTTTTTGGTCAATGTTCAAATTTATAAGACTCTGTAAACTATTAAGTCTTGGGGCTTTACTTGCCGAAAACTATAGTATGATCGTGAGACATGCCACAGTATCCTGTAACTCCGGATGACTAATTTTAACAACTTGGGATCCTTTAATGTGCACCTCAATATAAAAACCCAGGCCTTCTCTCATTTTGCACCCATTAAATTGGCCGTTGGTTATCTGCCATTGGTCAAAAGCCACAGCCCAGAAATTTTCACCAATGGAATACAGCTAATGAAGGCATAAGAAAGTCTAAGTATCACAACAGAATTACCCCACCATCGTTAAGTGATTCTCTTTTGATTTTATGAAACTGATGCATTGACTTAATTCTAAGGTCTAAGCTGACCCTAGAGTTTGGTATACAATTACTGTTAGAAGAATAGTATCAGTCCAAATTGATTGATATGTGAAGTTCATTGTCCCAAAACCACAATATCACTATGAGAGACGCCCTAGTGGAGGGCTCCGGAAATTTTGACCACCTGAGGTTCTTTCACGTGCCCCCAAATCTGAGCACACAGACCTGCAGCAATTTCACCTCCATCCAAAATGCAGCCGCCACAGTTGGGATTCGATCCCGCAACCTGCGAGTCGGCAGCCGAGTGCCTTAGACCAACGCGGTGGGTGGTATCAGTCCAGCCTTAAAGTAACACGATAATAACTATGACGCAGCAACTACAAGGACGACTCAAGATGTGTGCAATGTCACTGCACAATAACGGCCCATACAGTGCAGCGCACTACCACAGCCGGTGCAGTCAGCGGATGCAAGCATACTTCGACGAGCCCGTGAAAAAGATGGCTCTTACCATATGCAGGCTTGTGTCACAGATTCCCAATGCATTGTGCACAGAACAAGCTCTGAAGAAAAAACAATAATGTGCAAACACCTTTTTTGCGGTTTCATAGATGGCCGTAACCTGGTGCATGGGTCAGGAATCACTCTGGGGCAGGTTCCAAGGAAAGCAGCCAGTGGTGCGGTAACTGAACTGCGGGTGACAGTAGTTCAGTGGCCACGACAAAGAGTGGCTGAACACTGCACTCTAAACTGTCCGACCGCAAACCCATCTTAACAATGGGGTTGTCTTCATCTTATGTCACTATATATACACTAGGGGGAACTCTGGCGCTAGTGTTTATGGGAGCTGCAATGCAGGGTGTTTCAGCAAGCATGCGAATGACAGGTAGTACATGGATTTGCCTACTCTTTGTACTTTCAGTTTCATTCAGTTTCACGTGGCTTGGAGGTGCTTTATCACGAATTGACAATCAGCAAATGTTGAGCCATCGCTTCTCACCACTGCAACCTTTTAGGCTCAATTCAAATCGGGTCATGAAGTTCAAAACCAGTTCTTTTATTGAAAAAAAAAAAACCAAAACAAAATTAAACTAAGCCACAAGTGCATTCAAAGCCTGCAAGCACAAAGACTAGGCAAATCTGTGTACTACCCATCATTTCCACAAAAACTAAACGATGGCAGCGCCAGAGTCCCCTCTAGTTAACTTTGGAAAACTATGATCTCAATGACAGAGTTGCCCAATGAATTTCTTTTCAAGAAATTTCTCAACAAGCCACGAAAACACCCTTCTGCACAACAACAAAACAAGGCACACTTGTTGCCCCCATTGTCAACTCGATGTCTTCATTGAAAACGTGCAGGTCCCCTCACCTGGTCCCAGTTGCGCTCTTTCCACTTGGCGGCCACGGTTGCGAGGCGCTCGTCCTCCTCGGGAGTCCAGGGGCCCTGGTTCAGGCGCACGTCCAGCAGGTTGCGCCACCTCGCTTCGCAGTCGAATGGCGTCCGGTTCGTCCGCATGTCGACAGCTGCAATGCGCAGCCAGTCGATGGGGCGCGTAGCCTGCTCCAGCAGCTCTTCCAGGCTCAGATCGCGAGTCTTGGCCATCTGCGAACGGAATTCAAAGCTTGCAGGTTCGATCTCTGCCAGAGGCAAGTCGTCTTTCTGCCCGTCACATCTGTATCACCATTACCACAGTACACTTATAACAGCAGAATTATGAAAAAGCCAACCAAAATTAGGATTGTGTTTATTTTCCGACATTAAATAGCAACCTTTAAATGATTCTGCAGTTAAATTATCTAAAATGCAAGTTTAATGCATACCTTTATATACGTCACAAATTCTCCATATGTCACAAAAAAAGAAGACGGAACAAAAAACGTACCTAGTAACTACAGTCGAAACCGGGTATATCGAACTCGCCAAAAAACGTTTATTAGTTCGATATATGGTATAATTCGATATAGGCCCAGTATAGGTTTTGACACAAAGGCACATAACAAACTAGAAGAAAAGTACTTTATTAATATGGTGGCTTACTTGCGTGCCCTACTGTGGAACAAAATAGTCCCGGATTTTTTTCTGTGTCAACGACTTCGCTGCCTGCGACAGCACGCACGCCTCCACGTTGTCCAACGAGTCGGAGCAGCTGAGGCCGCAACCTTCCACATTCAAGCAATAGCTCCGGACCAACGCAAGTGCACTATTCGCTTCGGAGGATGTAGGCAATGGGCCGTCGTCGATTTCCATATTGCTGTCGCTTTGGCTCGTGGTCGGCACGACGTCTGCATTGTAATCCTCATTCTGTAATTGGCCCATGATAGGGACATCATCGTCCGCACTGACGAACTCGACGAATGTCAATCCGTCGATAGCACCCGAGAACTCTGCTAGCTCGTTCCAAACTTCGGCGCCTTCAGTGCTGTCAGAATTTGGGGTGTCATCACCAGGCATGCGGAAGCCGGCATGCCTAAAGCAGTTCTGGATCGTCTCCTTCTTGACATCTGCCCACGATCTACTCAACATAGAAATAGCTCCGAGCAAGTCGATCTTAAGCTCCCTGCCGACACGAAGGTTCTGCGGCAGCCCCTCCACCAGGCGCTTCTAATAGCCGGCTTTCATTGCGCGTATAACGGCTTGATCCAGTGGTTGCAGTACAGACGTAGTGTTCGGGGGCAAAAAGCGCAGCTCGATGTTGCTGAAGGTCGTACTGCAGTGGTGCGATGAACAATTGTCCACGAGCAGGCACACCTTGCGATTTTCGCCTACCAAATCATCATTCCACGACGATAGTCATCTGCTGAAAAGCTCCCCGGTCATCCACGCTTTTGAGTTTGCTCGGTAGGTAACTGGAAGTGACAGCGCATTTCGAAAACACCGCAGTGCCGTGCTTTTTCCGATAACCAGAGGTCGAAGCTTTTTCGATCCCTCTAAATTAGCTGCCAACAGCACGGACACACGAGCTTTGTTTCCCTTGCTGCCGCTTGTCCTGTCGCCACGACACGCAAGTGTCTTGTTTGGCAACATTTGCCAAAATAGAGCGGTTTCATCCATATTGAAGATATCTTGAGCTCTATATCTTGCTGCGATATCTTGCCAGTTTTCCTCGAGCCATTTTTCTGTCCAGGTCCGTCGCTCTGCTTTCACCTGTAATAGCTTTGCCAACGATGTCGTGCGTTCTTTGAACCGCTGAAGCCAGCCTGAACCGCCTTGGAAATCATTCCTGCCAAGCAGAAAAGCAAGGTCCTTGGCTTTCTGCTCGATCATAGGGCCGGACACCGGCATGTTTCGCGATCGAACGTCCACAAACCACTTGTAAATGGCCGCTTCAACAGCTTCGTACACAGCAGCGCGCACACGTCGGGCGCCACGGGCACCTGGCGTTTTGTCCGACTTGGCCCTGATGTCTGCGTTGTTCTTCAGGCTAGTACTCAATGTGCTCCTTAGAATTTCGTACGCGGCGGCGACGTCGGACTTCTTTTCACCGCGCTCAACCCGATTGATGATTTCGAGTTTCGCGGCGAACGGCAAATTTTGCCTCTTTGCGCAAGCCATGATGACAGCGCGCCAATACAGTTCACAGAGTACCAACAGGCAACACCACAGACCACGCTGAATCGGCAGTAGCAGGCACACAAGCATAAAGAAAGAAAAAAGGGCGCTCACTTCTACCACCTTCGCACCTCGGAGAAAGCATGATGGCCTCCGATTGGCTGTAAGCGCTGGGAGCGGGCCAGAATCATTTCTTGGAAGGGGGTGTTCGCCCGCGCACATCCGGGTCTAACCAACTTTTTCTAGGATGGCGCCGGCAGTTTTCCCCGCCAACGCAAGGGAAAGCCAACTTGCTGGGGCACTTTTGAGGCACATGGAGTTTGATATATCAGTTGTCGTTGCTATTTTCGTTCGATAAAACAGTAAATTTTGCTATATATTCTCAATGTAAACTTACCGTGTTTAGGAATTGTTCGATATACGGGATAATTTGATATAAACGAGTTCAATATAGTCGGGCTCGACTGTACGTATCATGTCGTGTGGTGCATCTTGGGTATTCACAAATCAAAGAAACAAAATCATTGAAGATAGAAAGTAAGAGTTGAAGATGGAAATTAAGAGTTGTTATACATGCTTCGCATTCTCTTCCATCAGCTACGAAATAATTGGTCCTAGCATAGAATACGTTGCACTAGACGGTGCTGGAATTTTCATGCTGAAAGCCATCTTCCCCGTGAGTGCTTGGCAGTCGGCATTAAAGGCCACATACATTTCGTAACTTGCTTGCTCGGACCTTTTAGATATGTCACGAATTCGCGACACGCTGCAGTAAAGGGTAATTTTCGTTGGCTTCGTTAAGGCTGCTTGCCTTTTCTGCCCCCGGTACTTCTCTGGGCACTACAAAACACTGTTATTCTGATCGTGAAATTACAGATTAGTTTTAATAAACAATACCAATGTTGGTGTTTAACGTATTAAAACCAAAATGTGATAACAAGGGGTACCGCAGCGGAGGGTTCTGGAAATTTTGAACAACTAGGGTTATTAACGCGCACTTAAATCTAAGTGCACGAGCCTTGTACATTTTTACGTCTATCGAAAATGTGGGGGATTCTACACTTAGATTCAGAAGCATGTTAACGAAAGATGCTAACAAAAAAATGCCAGTTTTTCCAAAATTACATTGTTTTTACTTGCTTTCACAAATTTATTTTCTTAATGACAAAAGCAGTAAAAAAGTAGACCTAATTACACTCAGAGTAGGTTGAAATCCGTTTTAAAGAACACAAGATGGCTATCGAAAATTGAAAAGAGCTGATTGTCTAGAATCACCGAGAAGTCACCAAACTCTCATGATGAAGAAGTAATTTTAAAAAGCATGTTTTTGCCACATAGATGAGCTTTCATTTCTACATTTCAAATGCATTTTTATCCAAGTGCAATTTTGGGCAACATTTTAGTTTAGTCCCAGGCACTACAACTACACTGTTTGTATCAAACGTTCTGGGAAAAATTTAGAAAAATATATTTGCTAACAATATTGCCACAATGCCTCAAACTATTTCAAGGCAGATTTCTAGATCCTCGACACACCTTTGCCAGAGCTTTTTTCACAATTCGAAGGCTGCCTGGTAGGCAAATTTCAGAGGCTCCTTATCCAGAGCACGCATACAAGCTTCTTCAACAGCACTTGGGGTACCATATGATGATGTGCTTAGAGGCAGGCTTTCACTTTCGGGAATAGGTAATAGTTTTCTGAAGCAGAGCAAGAGGTTGGTAAATTGCCTGTATGCCAGTTATCGCCAGGCAGTTGGGCGTTGTTAGGCCAGCGCTAAACTTGTGCCGAGCTCCTGTTCAATTGTATGCTGCATTCTGCTCCTGTATCAGGTCCTAAGCAGAGATCCAATAAAAACTCTTACAAGTGATTGACACTTTGTGTCTCTGAAAGGCCATATCCCCCCCAACAGTGCACACCCAGTGAGAGTATGCTGCAACATACCATAAGAACCCGCATATAGTCCAGACCCATGTATAGTCCTGATCTGGATATACAGTTAAACCTGCCTATAACGAACCTCCATATAATGAATTTTTTGATATAACGAAGTTTTTCTATTCCCTGCCGTTACTCCATTGAAGCGCATTTGCTCCTTCTACGTAACAAAGTAACAGTGGGAGACATCCTTGATATAACGAATTTTCACCACGGACAATCTAGGAATCTTGCCCCAATTTTTGCCATTTAGGCACGAACGTGCGTCTTCCACAGTTACCCCCGCCAATGAAGCGCGAAGTGGCGGCGGCGCACTCATGACCTTGGCAACTCCCATGCCGGCTACGGCTCAAGGCAGGCCTGTGCCCCACCAGCCGTTCTAGCCGCTGCGGACGAATGTGCCCACCCCTCCATCCAAACGAAAAGAAAAAAAAAGTAGTTTGCGTTGGCAGTGCCACGGTTTCAGTTAGCGTCCCGTACGTGGGGCTGCACTGCATATGGAGGGCGCTTTACCGAGTGGTTTTCCGCTGTATCCGTGTCATTCGCTCTTTGTTTTCGACATCATGTGCGCGCAGCCCCGACGATGCTCAGCTTTGTTGTTTTAGTGGCTTGTTTGTTTTTTAGTGTGGACAACCATTTCGTCACCACCAAGGAGATGTAAGATTAGCTATTGATGGAAACTGACACCATGGTGACAAAGACAGATCTTCGGAAGCTGGACTCGTGACGCGCTTCTATCTTGCGCCGTGCCGCGAGTTTGCATTCTTTGGCGATCAGCTCTGGAACAACATGGTGGCGCCTTAAATGTGATATCAACAAATCGTAATGCTATACAAGATAGGCAGACAACTCTCGTGGGTGCAATATCGCGGAACTCCTACACAACTTTGTTGTAAGCAAGTACGACCGCTCCAGGGACAAGTGCTCTTTTCACACACTCTCTTCGAGTTAAAGTGCACTGACGCTTGCCAAGATATGACGCTTGCCAAGATAGCACGAGCACCAGCGGTCCGATTGCACACTTAACATCAAAGTTCACCATTGCTACTCAACCTCCTGCAGCGATTTTTCACGCTTGTTCAAGACTGGTGGTTTCCTTTCTGTTTGAGCAATCGAC